CTCTGTCTCTCTCTGTCTTTCACAAACTCCCCTCTCTCTCTCTCTCTCTCTCTCTCTCTCTCTCTCTCTCTCTCTCTCTCTCTCTCTCTCGCTCGCTCGCTCGCTCTCTCGCTATCTAAAACAATTAATGTTCTTGGGGTCTGTATTATTGTCATCATCAGTGTGATTGAGATTATTTGAAAGGCGCCGATGACGATAATAATGGTGATTGTGATATTAGTGCAGGACTCTTTCTTTGGTGTTACTTTTCCAATACTTATTTTTATGAGTATGATAATGGTTACAATCTTGTAACTACTCTTCCACCTTTCTTCTTATATTAAACCTTCCTCATCCTCCGCTCTCTTCATGGTACTCCTTCGCTTTATCTTTCACCTTTTCTATCCAATCCATTGTCCTCCTTAAACTTCTCATCTTCATCTTTCTCTACCTTTCTCATTCTTCATTCTCGTCCTCACTTTCTTCCGAGTTATTGTCCTCCTTCTCCTCCTCATTCTCCTTCTCCTTCTCCTTTTCCCCTCCTCATCCTCCTCCTCCGTTTCCTTATCCTATTTTCCTACTCCGCCTCCACTTCCACCCCAATCACCCCTCTTCTTCCTCCTCCTCCCCCTCCTCCTCCTCATTTCCCCCTCCTAATCCTATTCCTCTTCCCTGACCCATACATTCTTAAACGTCTTCGTACGTTCTTCCAGCTGACACCATGTGCTACAAGGCTGACGACAAAGGGGCCTCTTACGCCGGACAAGTGAACTTCACGAGAGCGTTTAAACCTTGTCTACCCTGGTACAAAGTTATGGAGTGTAACCACGGAGCCTTCGAATACCCGTACGTTTATATTCACCCCGCCTTCTCCTCCCCGCCCCCTCTTTTTTTTTAACACGGGATCCAATTGCTTCTTTTTTCTTTTTTTTAAATTCTTCTCCCACTGTTCCTCATCTCCACACTAACATAATTGTGAGGCGCTCGTCAAAATAATGACACAAAGGATACCGGCATTTTATTTCCCGCCGGTTTGGCACTTTTTATTGAAGTTTTGTCTTTCATGCCCATATAAAAACATATTTCTGAGTGAATTTTTACTTTAAAAATCTTTGTTTAAAGGAATAAAAAGGTAACTTTTAAGTTTTCAAGGGCCCTCAAGCTTTGGAAATCACTAAACTTTGCTCGCCATTTTTTTTAAAGTTAATTTTACCTCTTAGACCCGACTACCCCCACTTCCTTCAATCGCAAATCTCTCAACTTTTTTAAAAGATATAAGGGCCTTTGGGTATTTTTTTAAATCGAGAGATAGGCAAATGAACAAGCTTGAAGATAGTGCTACTAACTCAATATGCAAAAAAAAAATTGACGAGCACCTGATTCTGCCGCGTTGTATTACAATTATTATTGTCAACGCCATTCTACAATCGCCCCAAACGAATTCTAGGTATTTCCACACAAAGCTGTTATTCAAATAAAGACATTCAGGGCCATCTTATTATAATGGTTTCTCTTTACTTGCTTATTTTCTTCTGTATTGTTAATTGAAAAGTCATTAGCCTCCTTCTGTTCATTTTGATTTGGGCGAACTTTTTTTTCTTATTTTCCTCAAGACTTCAAAGTAAGACTGTAGCACTTATTGAATTATTGCTGGCGAATCCTGTTGTTGGGGGTTTTTTTTGGGTTGTTCTCTTCTGTTTAGATAGAACAGATGAACTGTCAGATACCAAAGAGTATTTTACAGTAGACTGATACAAAAACTATGTGAATGGACAAGCAGGGCGCACAGGTGTGTGTTCTCCATCGGATCAAAAAAGTAATGTTGAATAGATAGGCTAATCAATTGACTTAATCAAAATTAAGTTGAAATTATATATTTGAACATTATAATATCTTAGATCGTACACTGCCATGGCTGCTGCTCTTAACTCTCTATAATATAAAGAGTTATGTTGTCGTGAAGCGTGCGCACCGCGAACGCCCGAATAAGGGATAGAACACGAGCCTCACTTACTGTCAAGTAAGTGCAGCATCACGCCACCCTCATCCAAACCCCTCCTTTCATTTGGCTCTAAACTGAGCAAATAAATGGTGCTCTTCACTATGAACCTGTATTACATCAGAGTGCACAGTCTAAGATATCATAACTCATGTTTATAGTTGAAATCGTGTTAGCTTTCAGTATGATACAAACTAGTATATCAGCATTTTGAAACATATTTCTTTTCCACCAGGGACGTCTTGGGAAATCTGGAGGAGAATTATTGCCGTAACCCTGGCGACGGTGTCCGACCTTGGTGTTACACAGAACTTCACAATTGTAGGAGGGACTACTGTGACGTGTGCTTCGATGGTGGGTTTTCAAAATTGTTGAACTTGTTCCACGTCCTCGTCGGCTCAGTTTATATCATTTAGGGTATGTGGTGTTTCGACTTTGTTCGCCAGGACGAACCCTGGCTGCAAGGGATACCTTGGCAGAAAGATACACTTTCTAGATAAAATAGTGTTCTCATTTTGATGTCTTTATGGTTAGCATCTATTTTCATTTTAAAAACAAGCAGATCGATATAATATTTTAAGAAAGACAGACTTACCGAAACAACTTTGTTTAAAGGGAAAAAGTGGAGCCTACAATTTGGCACCCTTAAGTCACCTACCTTGAAAATCGAACTTACAGTTGTGTGCAAGCTAGAACGTCCTAGTATCATCTGTGCATGTGTAAGTTTTAAATATGAGTATATGTCCTCATTCTTGAAAATATAAATTAAAATTGTGTTCAGCTCAAGAGACCACGGCTACCCCTACGTTGGCCCCACACAGGTTGAAGTTTCCGGACATGCGTAGTAAACCAAATAACTTCTAAATAGAGGACTGAACCTGACCTTTATCTAGTAAAATGAATATGTGAAAGAGAGTGCTTGTTACATAAGATGACCATGACCATAACAATGACATGTTATTCTATATTTAAAGACGATTGAAATGGTGTGTAAAAGGGATAACTAAATCGATGGTTTGGCCGTTAGATATCTGTGACGTGCTCATTTCGCCTGCCAAAATCATTAGACTGAAACTATCATCGTTCATTTTTACTATCAAGCAATCCGAAATCACCATTCTTCCATTGTTGCTACCAATCCCAAAAAAAACCCAACTATTATCCTTCTATTGTTACTATCAAGTAATCCAAACCCATCATCATTTAACTGTTAATATAAGTTAATCCAAACCCACCAGCCTTTCATTGCCAATGTCATCCAATGGAAAACCGTTCGTCATTGCTATTGTGATTATTGTGCTTATTTGCTTCACTGTTGTTTCTCGTGTATGTTCCAGTACAATGCCCTAATACAATTATCCCCAGAGAGGTCGGTTTGAAGGCGGGCATTGCGTTGCTCAGGCATTGGTTGTCTTGTGGTTAGTCTAGCAGACTCGGTATCGTGAGAATGCGGATTCAGGGAAACGAGGTCCAGCTCAGTCCTACCTCGTGTCATTGGGAAGGGCACTTTACAGCAATTTTCTCATTCAGTAAGGTTTTGGTGGAGGTTGACGTTAGTAGAAATTACGTTTCTTGGTCGAGAGGCCAGCAAGAAAGAGGACAGAACTGAAAACATAACCAGCATATAGAAAAGAAACAATATTTTTACGTCAGAGATGTTCTGGCGTAATAGTGGCGCCTTCTTTTTGAGAAAGTTACGCTCAATGTTTGAGGCACTCCAGGCCTATTCATATTGCCCCATCATTTTTCCTCCTCCGGGTTCCCGCCAGACAGCGTTAGGTAAGTTGTAAAATGGGCTATATCTTAACAGACCATTCCATGACTATTGTTTTGTTCAGACAGGAGTGTAAAAGACATACATTAAACCTTTCTCAGCCTTGCCCCAGATCGTATAAGCTCTTTATTCAGAATACCAAACTGTTCTGGCAGTTAAACATATTTCAAAAAGTCCATTATTTGCCCTGTCCTCAGAAAACCGTTACGATGTGCATGTGGACTGTGACCTGCTGGCTGAGATGGGCATGTGTGAGAACGACCCCAGGGCCCTCAGCACGTGCGCTGCGACCTGCGAGAGCAACCTACAGTCCTTCACGGAACCTCCCATAGGTAATCAACTGCCTTGTCATGTTTGGCGTCATTCTTCTTTTATATTTTTTTTTTTAGTTTTAGAAAAAGGTTTACGGCACTTACAACGCTAAAAGGTCATATAAGTGCCGAAGAATAGAGATGTTACAAGAGAGTATTATTCAAAGAATAAAAGGAAGAGAGATGAAGACAATATATATTTAATAGGAACAAGGAGCAAACACCAACAGAGCGTCCCTTCGACACAATTCAGAACATTCAGGAAGTAGATTGCTTCTTCAGCCTATTTTGTCACCGTCAGCACGAGGTGAGTGGCATCAAGCATTTGGGCAAAGATGCTCCATATAAAAGATTTCCCACACAAGGGCCTAGTTGTGCTAAGATTAGCTAGAGGAGATGGCAAGAGACAGGCAAGTGTGATGTTGACTGCCCTCTACCTCATGTACCTGACGGTATAGGGAGAGAGTAAGAGTAAATAAGTAAGTAACTGGATATCCGTATTTGGTGTGATACGGCGAAAAGCACATGCATAAAAATGCACAAAGGATAATTATTTGTTTTTTACTTTTTACTTGTTATTTTTCCTTCTATGAGATTTTCTATATTAAGCCAACCCTGTAGCTCTTTCAATAGGGTAGTTATAAATTCTCAGGGTGTCATTGACTGCCTCGGGCCATTTTTTGCGTGATCTACCTCTTCCTTTATAGCCTGAGAACTTGGTATTATAGACTTTCGAGGCTGGTTGGCTTGGCGACATTCGTAAAAGGTGGCCAAACCATTTTATTCTCTGAGGTTTTTTTATGAAATGCAGGCAGGACTTCGTGCCAATAGCTGCTCTTACTTCTCCATATCTCTCTGCGTGTATCTTCTTGTGACGTTAAAGATTTTGCGGAGATATTTCATCTCGCATGTAGTGGTGCTGGAATATTTCATCAAGAGTTATCAAATGGACAACTTCACACCAATACAGACAATAATAATATTTCCATTGCTATGCAACACGTTTATACTTGTATGTTGGCTTCATTTTTTCTTGGCTTACTTCCCCAGCTTCAACTGTGAGCTGCAGTCCCCCTGACCCTCTGCCCGACGGTGCTGTCGTGGGCACACTCAAAGACAGCTACTCCATGGGGGAGATCGTCACCTACCAGTGCGACAAGTCCAACATGACACAGGAGCGCACCTGCCTCAGCAATGGGATGTGGTCCTCACTCAACTACGTCTGCCAAGGTGACCTCCTCTCTTCTTCTCTATAATCGTTTTTAAGCAGAATCATTCTCAACATAGAATAGGCTATCTGACGAGCGATTGGTTTGTGGGGTTGTGGGGA